CAACCTTGCGAATTCCTTTTCATGTTGAGGGAAATATAATAATCATTGATAGAGAGAGAGTAAATAAAAGACCATTAGTGCGTCGTTGTCAAGTACAGAATACATGTATATTTTTCACCCTAGACGGCGCCACCATTCCACTTTATTACAAGGTTTTATTCTATATTTATGACTTCCATTTAGTCGAGTGTGACGTATACTGTACGTGTTAGCAGAGGGCATAGAGGTTGTGCACACATGGTCGGCTACGTGACTCTTCCTGCGTCTTCCTTACCATCACCGCAGCGCCGCCCAGCCTAGTCTTCTGTGTCTCTCACTCGTTTCATCAGCGGCGTATGTATACTTAGCCGTGGCCGAGAACAAGATGGAACCAAAGAGAATAGAGTTTTTAAGTCGAATGTGTACATACTCAAGTGAAGTTAGTTTTTAGTTCTGGTATATTATCTAATCCCAAACATGATAGCTAAGGCAGGATGATAAATCGATTGTTGTTGCATATTCAAATATTAAAATATTTTCATGGTATTTTTACAGTGAGATTTTTAGTATACAAATATTTGGTAGAGTTGCTAATAACTTGTAAAAAAAAATGTTCGTCTCAACAAAGGAGCTTACAGTATATTGAGAGATTAGGTTGATCTTAGTACTGTATTGTGCTCAGAGGCTCTCGTATATTACTTACTTAATTTGTTGACTGTTTTGCCTTCCAGTTATTTAGAGTACGATAGATCGCTGTGGTAATTTACTGGTGGAATTTCAGATAAACCAATAATTAATATCCATAAACAACTAATACTCAAGATATAGAAATGTTGATTTTTTTCACCATTAAAAAAAATCTTTGCATTTTTGTATTTACTTACATTAGTGAAGTGAACTAAAGTAAGGCAGTGACGTCATCTCATAACATAAACAAGAAAAGCCGATTCTAGCTGTTGGTGTTCCCGAGACATTAATATTACATAGGTTGGATGGGCGGGTGATGGTGGGAGTAGCAGTGGAGGCATTGATGTTTACTACAGTCACCCGGGAGTTCGTGTCGCCTCTCCTGCTGCTCCACGAACCCCGAGATTTAGACTCATGAACCCAAAGCAATAGACACTGATACATTATTCTGGCCATAAATGCTTCGGATTCACGAGTTTGAATCTTAATGGTTCGTGGTTCAGGAGAGGCGACAGGACTTGTGGGTGATCTGTGCTGCATCTCATCGCTGACTGTTGATGTTATTGTTCTCCATAACATTTAAGATTATTTAATTATTAATATGTGTTTATTGATAAAGAAAAATAGAAAGGGATTATGTTATATATTTTACAGACTTACATCACTGATTTGACCGCCAGTTTTTGTGCAGTTTACTTAAGATGAATCACCTGTATAGATTCTCCCTCACCCTCTTCAGCTTACAAAAGACTAAGCACCCTAAGACTATGATGAGGTTAGGTTAGGTTAGTTTTAGGGTGGTTAATCTTTAGGTGAAATAAGACCTACTGTACGCTGGCATACCTGGGATTTATAAGCAAAATGGCTTCCCAGATATTATTATGTAACTCAGTAAGTTATCTCCTAAGACACCTCCTCCTCCTCCTCCTTCTTCTTCACCTCCTCCATGTAAGTAGCAGCAACATTCCTCACATACACTCCTACCTTACTGCCTTTATATAATAAGTGGACGGCACCATATTTGCAGCACAAGTATTCGAAGATGGAAAAAAATTATCTGACTAAGAACATAAGTAATTTTCCCTCTTGCTATAACAACCCAGGGGGCGAGGGGTGTGTGGGAAGGGGAGGATCATTGTAGTTGTAATATATTCACAACCATCAATAACATTAGTAGTTTATGTGGTTCGTTAGTTGCTGTTTGTGTGCCATTATGAATTATATCGTCTGACTTTGTTATGTGTATCTTAAAGGAGCCCCCCCCAAAAAAAAATATTGACAGGGTGAATACTGGCTTCTCAATTAGTGGACGAAGTTAATTTTGGTGAATGAATAATTTTCTTCAGGTTACCGTTCATAATTTCGTAGTTAAATCGTTGTACTGTATCTAACACTAAAGATTATATACCTTCACCTCACAAATGTACTGTGTTTGAAAGGTAAAGTGATCTGAGAATAACTGTAAAAAAGAGGGAGCAATTTTTTTTCTTACCTTTTGAGAGGCTGCAAAGCTTGTATCAGATTACGCTCGGTCGGGGCTCTGTTGCTACCTCGGCTTGCCTTAAGTGGACCAACGAAGTCTTCGAACCCTTGATCACCCTTACAGTACAGTTTCCAGGGTTAAAGGTTATTGGATTCCGTAAGTTACAGTTTGTTCTTCATGGTGGTAAGAAATCGACAAGTGAGTGAGCATAATAAGTAACTGGAATGAACTTTGTTTTCTCGAGGGCAGGTCGTGACTCGTGCATCACATGAGTACGTACATTGGTTACTACTGTACATACACATCATGGCATTGTACAAATTCTCTTGAGATCAATAAATATAACTAACTTTTACGTCACCTTGTTGCACATATAGTAATACAGATGTCTGCTTTTGTAGATGTGATATTATTTGTGTTTTTTGCAAGGAAAGACAAATTAAACCTTAAATATTCGGAGATATAGTCACATTACGTTTACTGAGTAGTATTAAGACTGCAGCAGTAAATATCAACATGACTAAAGCATCAAAAGAAGGTGAAAAAACAATTGTCTTGAAATTCCTCCATGAAAGTACTGACTGTTGCACAATGACCAGCTTCGTGCTTATAAACAGTATAGGAACGACACCTAGTCCCAGTATGACTTTCTCTCTAGTATTCCTGATAATATGTGAACAACTGACGATGAACTGATTTTGATATATATATATATATATTTTTTTTTTTGGCATTAGTGGACCATCTTTACCTTGAGCTGTCTTGCGGCACTTGAGAGGCAATTGTATCCATCCTTACATGAAGAGCAGCAGGGCCTCTCGCGTACCAAGTTGTTGACACACACTAGGCTACTCTGCCGCCCAGGGAGGAAGGATGGCGCCGAGGAGAAGGAGGAGGAAGTCGATTCTTTTGGATGATGATGATTATGGTTCATAATGTTGATAATGAATTTGTAAGTTTATCTAGATTTCATTAGTACTTTTTTATATACTGTACATTATCCACAATTATCAACGTGATATAACGATTTAAAGAAAATATATTTCTTGTACTGTATATATAAAGCTGATGTAGAGGCCAATTTAAATTCTCATTGTTCTTGAATCGTCAATATAAGAAGAATATATATCTTCAGCTGCATTAAACAGTTCTATGGACGCCTCTTTTGACTCGCTCATAATGGCTAACTGATGGATTGAAACTTTCCTTTTACGCCCCACACTGTGCTTGGCTTCTGTCACCACTAATGCTGCTTATGTTCAGTTATTAGATCATCCATGTGTTTATATAAATGTCCTGTACAAGCTGTAATATGCTGCTGAGTTTCATTTATTTATGATGTACTAAACTGCCAGATCTAGAAGCTAAATAGTACAGTAATTTTATAAGTCATTCCCTAAGAAAATAATGAAGGTAACAACCATATTCAAAATCTAATTAGAACATATAAATGACAACATGCAGTGTGTGACATACTCAAATTGTTGATGGCGTCTCACCAGGCTTTAGTGCCGGCAAAGACTGGGGCCCCCAGAGCTTGGAGGAAGGCCCGGGGCAGAATTATGAGATGGGGGCCCTCAGTGGTCACATCCGGAGAATTAAAGACGCCATTTTTTTTCCAACGCTTATAATTTATGTGTGTGTATGTACAATATCTCTCTTATCGTTTGGGGGCCCCATGTAACGCGGGGCCCCTACTATTGTATGGGCGGAGAAACGCGGCAAGAGTTGGTGTGTAAGATTGTATTCATGTTGTCAGCTCATACGTTGTTTAGTGTCAGTCATCATTGTCGGTGAGAAGTGAAGCTATGTGTTTAAGTTAATTAAGACGTGTGTGTGTGTGTGTGTGTGTGTGTGTGTGTGTGTGTGTGTGTGTGTGTGTGTGTGTGGTCAGCCTGGTCCTACTGCAGAAGCGGTGTGTTCATATAGAAATCATGGGAGAAAATTTGAAAGTTTGGCGTTGTGATTCTGTGCTCTGTTTGAAAGAGTATTATTATACTTTGATGATTCCTAAAGGTTGACAGTATTACGGATTCAGCTGAGTGACATGTAGAGTCATCTGTATGTAACGCCAAAAGTAATAATGTACCAGTGTTTAAAAAGTGACATTTACTGATATCTGCTTTACAATATTTTCCGAGATGCAGAACCCTCGTCGTGTTGATCAGCCTCCACCGTCCGTGATTTGTGAAGTATGTTGAGTAAACGACCACCTGAGCCACGCACGCCACGGACCACACACACACACACACACACCCACACATTTTGACACATCAGCACAGAGTGATGTGTCGTCCGTCACATTGGTACTATCCCAAGCTGACTCACTGCCTGCCCGACCCGACCACTATACCTCGACCAACTCCAGTACTATGAAAATGCCACACACACACACACACACATACATACATATATGTACACTCCTACAGACTCACACGCCTTTGTTAATACAGACACCTACACGCCTACTGTTTTCGTGTGAATTTTTACGAAATGTTCCGACAGAATGTATCTATATGAAGTGGAGAGAGATGGTTGGGTGTGAGCAGGAGGGCGAGGGGAGCCAACAACTACAGCCACCTCCCATTTGTTCACCATTAGCGTGGGCGTCGCCGTGTCCCAAGAAACCAGTGGCTGTCACTGTGGGCCCCCCCCCCCTCCCCCTGACCTTGCCCCTGAATTAAGGGACGTAGGGACAGTGGGGTGGTGGGAGCCCTTGAGTACCGGGCACCATTGTCGGTGGCAGCCAATGGCACCCGAGAGCGAACGTTCCAGAGAGTGCCAGGGGCGAGGATGGTCGCTAGGGCGTGACCAGTCGCTGTACACGTGAACAGGCCGTATATATAGCACGTCTCAGCAGTGGGACAGCCTCAGTGAGCCACTTGTAGTAGTGCGAGTAGGTTGTGAGGTCGGCCACAGTGGTTTACATACACCATCTCCATTGCAGAAAGCCAGTGCCCTGACCACCTGTTGCACACACCTCACCGCCGCCCAACATCTGCACCACTACTACTACTACTAAATCAGAGGTGAGTCCTTTCCACCATCACTGTCTCAACATAGTTATTCATTTAAGATATTTCAAAAATTTCTATGTAGATATATATATATATATAATTTTTTTTCATTCCTATGCTCAGTAAGTAACTCCTGCATGTACAGTAGATCAGTCTACGGTGCTCCGTTTTCTCGTTCCCATTTTCTTACGAGGTGAAGCTTTTCCCCTCGTCTGCTCCGCCACATTCAAACTCAAACACACCAAACTAGACTTTCAGCTGTGACAGTTAATTATTTATGCCTGTTTTTTATGTAACATTACTTTATTCTTAATTGCATTGTAATACGTAACGTTACAGGTATGAAATTATTAAAAAAGTATTCTCGTGGAAAAAATTGGAATTAGCGTAATTTTGTTTTTATAGATTTCCGATTCCATTGATTAACATTAAGTTTGAAGTGTTTGTCATAGACGCCAGGGAAGCAAGGTGATATGGTCCAATGTTGTCATACAAACTGCTCTGTGATCTACACCGAGGAAAACATTTATCGGTGACTCAAGGCTAAGTCGTCATTATAATATAGATAAAGTTTACTTAGGCATTTAGGTGTAATTAGTCTTGAATTATTAGTTGTCTGTTGTTGAACTAAAACCTATTTAGCGGTGCTTGATAACTCTTGACAGTTGAAGCAGCTAAAACAAGACTATCAACTTTTATTGTTAGTAATGACTCGGGTTATGGTGTTTAGATGGCGGTAATGTTAGATCGTCACCCCTTGTGTACACCCATGAAGGTCAGGTACAAGTTATTTCTTCATACTGTACATACTAAATACAGTAGTTTATCTACAGTCACACATTTACCCCCCCCCACACACACAAAATATATGTAGTCATACATTCACATACTTACACACTTATTTTCACACATATATGTACACCTAAGCTCAGTCAAACTTACACATGCATAAAACACATACAGACACAAAGGTACAATTTAGCTGTGATCATATTTTATTTATAATGTAAACTTGTGTCCACAAGTAACATCTGTTGTGCATAAAGAATGTCACTAAACTTCCTCCTTCTCTTACAGGTAACCCGTCAACAACTACAATACATCAACATGAAGACCCTAACAACATTGATCACCTTCTTCGTCACCTACTTCTGCCTGGTCCTCCTCTTCCAGTAAGTATTAGGCAACACTTGTGATCTCATCTACTCACACTGGCCACGTGCGGTCTCTGGTCTGTCTCACAATTTACTGCTTGGCAACCCAACAATGGGAGGTTAATATTTACTGTTAGGCAACTTTCTCAGTGCCATGACTATTATACAACTCATATTTGATTACTGCCTGTCAACTCCCTGCCTAGTGAAGCGAGAGGTTCACTTCCTGGCAACATTATCTTGACAACATTTGATGCTTGGTAATAGTTAGGCGTCATCACCGATAGTTTCTACTTGGCTATAAAACTACTGCCTGGTTATAAGATATTATTTCCTGGCTATAAAACTACTGCCTGGCTATGAGATATTATTTCCTGGCTATAAAACTACTGCCTGGCTATAAGATATTATTTCCTGGCTATAAAACTACTGCCTGGCTATGAGATATTATTTCCTGGCTATAAAACTACTGCCTGGCGATAAGATATTATTTCCTGGCTATAAAACTACTGCCTGGCGATAAGATATTATTTCCTGGCTATAAAACTACTGCCTGGCTATAAGATATTATTTCCTGGCTATAAAACTACTGCCTGGCTATAAGATATTATTTCCTGGCTATAAAACTACTGCCTGGCTATAAGATATTATTTCCTTGCTATAAAACTACTGCCTGGCTATAAGATATTATTTCCTGGCTATAAAACTACTGCCTGGCTATAAGATATTATTTCCTGGCTATAAAACTACTGCCTGGCTATAAGATATTATTTCCTGGCTATAAACTATTGCCTGGCTATAAGATATTATTTCCTGGCTATAAAACTACTGCCTGGCTATAAGATATTATTTCCTGGCTATAAAACTATTGCCTGGCTATAAGATATTATTTCCTGGCTATAAAACTACTGTCTGGCTATAAGATATTATTTTCTGGCTATAAAACTACTGCCTGGCTAATAAGATAGTATCACTACTTGGTTATTAAACTACGCACACACACTGTCTCTCGCTCTCTCCCCATATGTTTTCGTCATCACCAACGTTCAATATCAATACAATCAACATCTTATTTACGACTATGATAAGTGTTATTCCTCACACCTTTTTCGATTTGCCTCACAATAAACACATCCATCCTACCATCATTGACAGGATAGGACTCGGAGCAACGGATTCAAGTTGGATAAGTTTAGGTTTAGGAGGGAGATAGGAAGGAACTGGTTCACAAATAGGGTGGTGGACGAGTGGAACAAGCTTAGCAACTTTGTAGTAAGTGCGGGAACTCTGGAAAGTTTCAAAAGGAGGCTAGATAGATTCATGGATGATAGAGAGTGGTAGTAACTCTCGACAGGAGCTGCCATGCACAGGCCAACCGGCCTATTGCAGACTCCTTATTTTCTTATGTTCTTATGTTCACCATTCCTTTCCATTATATATTCTATCCATTCTATCCAGCCGCTTCGACACAACCCACCTCTACCCACATCCTTCATAACTGGTCAGCTAGTGCTTGTACGACAGTTGAATAATAACACGTGTAATGATATTGATTTATTACGAATTCGAAGATTACTGAATAGGTGACTAAATAATGCACGAGTTATGTAAGAGGCGATTATTATTGCTATTTTTACCTTTGTACCACCACATGCCACAAATGTGGGTATTATGCTGTTTTATTATTGTTAGGTTTGCATTGCACTTCGCGTTGGACATTTTCTATATTTGTACTAAAAATATTTCTTTTTTTCCCCAGGGAAGCTGCTGCAGCACCGCGCTGTGACAGTCACGACAGTCCAGCTCCTACCAACTGCAAGTACGGCACTGTGAGGGACTGGTGCCGCAACGGAGTCTGCGCCAAGGTGTGTACTGTACCAGCTGCTACTTCATCCTCTCCTGCTTCATGTCTCACTACATTTAATTATTCCTTTACGATACATACTTTCTTGTGCATTATCAGCTCTTCCAGATTTATATTATCCTCTCTTTGCTGTATCACACCGTACGAAGTCTCCCATCTTTTTGCTCGGTATTGTAGTCTATCTTACCTCCTCCTTTACTATAACTACAGTACTTCTGTCTTCAACGTTACCTGCAACTGTTCTATACCTCGGCTTATATTAATATAAAACTGGGATGCAATTGTATCTCTCTGTCGTAGTATTAGGCTAAAGGAAAACTTAACATACTATTGTATTTTTCTTAACTAAGTAATATAAGTTACATTTAGTCTCTGTTACCTTGTTTACTATGGTATTGTTATTGTCGTTACAGGGACCCGGAGAGAGTTGCGGAGGATACTGGTATGAGTACGGCAAGTGTGGCGGAGGAACCTTCTGTCTGTGTGGTACCTGCATCGGCTGCTCCACTATCGATGGTACTTGCTCGCAAAGTAGTCCTGCGATAATCTGTTAGAGCGCCCACCCTTCCCTGGCCAACACCCCGAGGTGCCTTTTACCTACCACTTGACCCTTCACCCTTTACCACCATCTTACTCAGGCATATATTGTTGACTCCAGGTCTTCCCCACCACCTGCTGTCATCTTCTCCTCGCTTCTATTGACTCCAGCTCTTCCCCACCACCTGCTGTCATCTTCTCCTGGTTCCTGTTGACTCCAGGTCTTCCCCACCACCTGCTATCATCTTCTGGTTCCTGTTGACTCCAGGTCTTCCCCACCTGCCTCTACCAAGTTCAGAACAAACTAGGACCAAAACGCCGAATCTTTGCCGCCACTTTCCCCACGCTTCTATGAGATCCTTCAAAGCGACCGCAAGAGTTCTTACTGTAGGGGATTTCTCCGACCACGTCGATACAACACATCTTTCCACCTCCAGAGGACTTTCTGGCCATCTCCACAAGTGCCATCTCCATAGGACGCGTTTGGCCACGTCCATCGTGGGCCTGTCTCCCTACGCCCACAGGACCTTTCTGGCCAGACCTATAGGATATGTCTGGTCAGATTTCGTGCTCTTTTATATAGGTTTTTATATCTGCTAAATATGCTATATCCTGTTGCATATATGCGCTTGTGATAATTGAGTACAAATCTTATTATTAGGAGGTATTTAGCCAAGGTATAATAACTGCACCTCCATCTATATATACCCAGGGGACGTAACAGTTCACTTACAATGCAATTGTTGATATAAGTAAAGTATAATTAGTCTTAAAGCCATAATTAATAGCAAAACAATTACACTATTGACGCATTAATTAACCCTTTCCCTCATACTGTCATCCGGTATTTCTTCACTGTGCACTTCCATCCACTAATACAAGTCTCCAACAGGGTGGTGCATCCTCAACTTGTAAACATTTCCATATTTTGTGACTGGTCCTTCTGACTCAACTATACGGCTTTGATACCCACACTCTGTTAAGGTAATTTATCAACTAATAATATGAACAGTTTCGAGTTATTTATTGTATACATCTGACTTAATGACATGTCGGATACTACCACATACTTAAGGCCTTCAGGTACTGTTGTGCAATCCTCAAAAATAAGTTTACGTTTAGTTTATACTTTTATTATACAGGTTATGAGTAAATGTAAGTACTTTTGTTTAGTATGGACAGCCAGGGTTATGTTTATTTTGGGTTAACCTTGTGTGTGTTTGGGGCCACCAGCTGCTTTTGTCAGTATATTCAGGTCAAGTTTCTCCTGAAGTTAATATACCCAGGTCAAGTTTCTCCTGAAGTTAACATACCCAGGTCAAGTTTCTCCTGAAGTTAACATACCCAGGTCAAGTTTCTCCTGAAGTTAACATACCCAGGTCAAGTTTCTCCTGAAGTTAACATACCCAGGTCAAGTTTCTCCTGAAGTTAACATACCCAGGTCAAGTTTCTCCTGAAGTCAACATATCCAGGTCAAGTTTCTCCTGAAGTCATCAACTTTCCTGAGGTCGACATACCCGGGTCAAGTTCTCTTAAGTCATCACCTTCCCTGAAGTCAACATACCCAGGTCAAGTTTCCTGAAGTCATCTTACCTGGGGTCATCAACTCTCCTGAAGTCATCCTACCCGGGGTTATGAACTACCTGAGGTCAACCATATTTATCTGAGGTCATCAACTACCAGTCATCAACCTTCTGTATTTTAATTGAAGAATCATCTACAACCACCTGTACTGGGACCACCTGTACTGGGACCACCTGTACTGGGACCACCTCTACTGGGACCACCTCTACTGGGACCACCTCTACTGGGACCACCTCTACTGGGACCACCTCTACTGGGACCACCTGTACTGGGACCACCTCTACTGGGACCACCTCTACTGGGACCACCTCTACTGGGACCACCTCTACTGGGACCACCTGTACTGGGACCACCTGTACTGGGACCACCTGTACTGGGACCACCTCTACTGGGACCACCTCTACTGGGACCACCTGTACTGGGACCACTCAGGTTAGGTTAATCAACTGGTCACCTGGGATCAATCAATCTCTACCTGGGTTTGATATACAGTGAAACCTCTATTTAACGGACTATATTGAGAGAAAATTCCGTTATAATTAGGTTTCGTTAGATGCGAATCCTCCATCTAACAAACTGAATAGAGATGGAAAGTCTGTTATATCAAGGGTCCGTTAGATGTGAAACACCCCCATCTGGAGATATAAGTCCGTTATATGGAGGATTCACTGAGGTTACCTGTAGTTGATGAACCTTGAGACAACACTCACCACGTACCTGATGCGCCGCACCTGCCTTGTCCCAATGATGTAATTCAACTGGGTTTGAACACAATAAAGGCACATATTCATAACACTTTTGTTTATCATTTTATTACCACAAATATTAATGTAAAGAAGAAAAGAAAACAATGCTTATTCAAGAAGAAAATATGGAGGGAAGATTTTTATTCACTTTGTTAGTTGAAGGAGTCAAGAAGTCTTATTTTTATAGAAATATCAGCTATGTTAGGTTTTTATCATGTATATATTGTACTGTTTTAGTCTCATTATCACCAACTTGACAATAAATAGGTTAAAGCTTCATCTTGAGAATTAATAGGTTAAAGCTATTGCATTTTCAAAGTTATTCATATGATTTGATTCAAAATGTAACAGGAAAACGACACGGAAAGTAACCGACGTAAATAGTTTATACAAGTCGGAAAATGTAACGAGTGCACAGAATACAAGCGTTCCTCTCTTTATTATGGTAAGGTTATACATTATACAAGGATGTATTTTATTCATACATACTGTAAGAGAAGTTATATATGATGTTTATCTATCTAGGTTTATTGCAGTCTTAGTATTAATTTATATTTTGTAGGGGAAGGAATATTTCTGATCTGAGTGTTGAAGCCTAGTGTAGCGCTGCAGGTAGATCTCAAGAAACATCGTTCCTTATTTTGTGGCATTTCTCACATCAACAAACCCTTTAATATAGAGAGAGCCTGAGAAACATAAAATAGATATACAAAAACGAAAATAGAATGTGTAAATGTAAGAATAGTTTAAAATTACAATTATTACGAATTATTCCTTTTCGCAGAAACAATTTGCTGACTATAGAATTAAAAAAATAAAATATTTATTCAGAACATTGAAATATGCACGTAAAATGGACAGCTCCTAGTGTTGTTGAGAAATGATTGACTGTGCGACTACGTAATTAAATATATGAAAGATGATAAGATTACGTTAAGTACAATTGCCTTACTTCAATTATATGGAGCCGATTGCGAGTTTTTGGGGAAAAACGAAGAAACTATAGCATTTTTCCGATCTCATGGTGTTCTCCCGACCTCAGTAAAGTGTCCTAAGTGCAAGAACGAATGTAAATATCGTCAAGACCAACATATGTGACATTGTGGTAACTCATACGACGAACGAGAACCAGGCCAATAAGACGCTACCTGACCTAGCTTGGAGAAGGACGTGCCCCTAAGTGCTCGTGTTAGTGACCATAGGAAATGGCCGCCGTGGATCGTTGTGTTGTGGGGGAAGAGGGACGGTGTGTGAGGAAAGACGACCCCCTGGCCACTGTTAAGTCAGCTGGAGCAGTTGAGGAGAGAGATAGACGCTCTAAAGAGAGAGAACGAAGCCCTCAGGACTGAACTTCTTCAGGTAGATGTCCTGCCTAGCAGGACACCTGCGAAGGAGGAGCAGGCGTGGAGAGTGGCTGTTTTCAAGGGGACTAGGAACAGACTCAGGAGGGGAAGTGATCGATGATACTGAGAAAATAAGCAAAGCATTAAACAGCTACTTATCAGTTTTCACAGAAGAAATTCACCAGGAAATTCCAGAGGTGGAACTGATATTTAGGGGAAATGAAGAAGAGAAATTAAAGAATATCAATATCAGAAAAGAGGATGTTCTTAAGAAGATAAATAAATTAAAATAGACAAAATAGACAAAATCGCCAGGGCCGGATGAAATCTTCCCTCGAGTTTTGAAAGCGTGTAAGGAACAGATTAGCGGACCCCACGTAAATTTATTTACAAAATCATTAGACACGGGAGTTGTGCCAGACTTGTGGAAAGAGGCAAATGTAGTACCTATATTCAAAAATGGAGACAGAGCATCAGCGTCAAATTACCAGCCGATTAGTTTGACGTCAGTAGTGGGGAAATTTCTTGAATCAATTATAGCAAATAGCATCCGATCGCATTTAGAGAAAAACAAATTAATCTACGACTCTCAACATGGGTTTACAAAGGGAAAATCTTGTCTAACAAATCTGCTAACGTTTTTTAGGAAAGTCTTCGAGGTAGTAGATAATGACGAAAATTACGATGTTATCTACTTAGACTTTAGCAAAGCGTTTGACAGAGTACCGCATCAGAGGCTTCTGAGAAAGTTAAGGCTCATGGTATCGAGGGGAAAGTTTTAAATTGGATAAAATCATGGCTCACCGATAGAACACAGAGGTTCAGCGTAGATGAGTGGGGCTGTGTTACCAGTGGGGTTCCCCAGGGATCAGTACTGGGCCCACTCTTGTTCATAATCTACATAAACGATCTAGATACTGGGATCAGCAGTGACATAAGCAAGTTTGCGGATGACACCAAAATAGGGCGACAGATTAATTCAGGGCAGGATGCAAATGCACTACAGGAGGATTTAAATAAACTGCAGGAATGGTCAGAAAAATGGCAAATGAAATTCAACACAAGCAAGTGCAGCGTACTTAATATTGGAAGAACAAATATTGTCAATGTATACAGCCTTAACAACATCAACCTAGAGAAATCGATTGTGAAAGAAACTTGGGGGTACTTCTAAGCCCGGACCTACGGCCTAGAAAACAGTGCGTTAATGTTCGAAATAAGGCAAACAGAGTATTAGTTTTTATATCTAGAAATGTAAGTAATAAGAGTGCAGAGGTCTTATTGTAACTATAGCTTGCGCTAGTCAGGCCGCACCTCGATTATGCGGTTCAGTTCTGGTGCCCTTATTATAGAATGGATATCAATTCACTGGAGTCGGTGCCGCGAATAATAACTAAAATGATTCCGGGACTTCGAAACCTTCCATATCAAGATAGGTTAAAGAAACTAAACTTGCATTCCCTAGAAAGACGAAGAGTGCTGGGAAATATGATAGAAGTATTTAAGCGGGTGAAAGGAATCAATAAAGGAGATATAGATAAAGTTCTTATAATGTCTGAGCAGGATAGGACTCGTAGCAACGGATTTAAGTTGGTTAAGTTTAGGTTTAGGAGGAAGATAGGAAGGAACTGGTTCACAAATAGGGTGGTGGACGAGTGGAAAAAGCTTAGCAACTTTGTAGTAAGTGCTGGAACTCTGGAAAGTTTCAAAAGGAGGCTAGATAGATTCATGGATGATAGAGAGTGGTAGTAACTCTAGACAGGAGCTGCCATGCACAGGCCAACCGGCCTATTGCAGACTCCTTATTTTCTTATTTTCTTAATTCGTTTTATCTAACCTCCTTCATCTGTTTCTGCAATAAAACATAGTGTTGAACACTCCTTTAAAAAAAATGGAGACCTAAATTTAAGGACCGAGTGTTGTAAGGTGAAGATAAAGTATTATTGTAGTTTAGGTCATCCGGGGAATGTGTTAGGTTACATTAGGTTAGGTTAGGTTAGGTTAGGTTACATTAGGTTAGGTTAGGTTAGGTTAGGTTAGGTTAGGTTACATTAGGTTAGGTTAGGTTAGGTTAGGTTAGGTTAGGTTACATTAGGTTAGGTTAGGTTAGGTTACATTAGGTTAGGTTAGGTTAGGTTAGGGTATTTTGGATATCTAAATACAGGGATGACTGAAACTAAAACTTTACCAAAGATAATTATAGTTACTTGTCAATTTCTACCATCAACTGGGATATATCAATTAATAATTTATTCTTATTTGGTCGGTTAGTTTCGTATGCGAGGTGAAAATCTCCTCAGGTTAATATATTTAACTTGATGTGATAGTTAACGCTGGTGCTGTGTAACCCAGTGATGCCTGCAGGTGTCACAAAAATAACATACTGTATATTTTGTACTAAATTCAGCCGTAACTTAATGTACCGTAGATAATTGACTTAATATTCGCTACTTTAAGCAAGAGACACACTGGTTCTCACAAGATGGATTATTTACGTAAGTGTGGTCAGTGTGTGTGTGTGTGTAGGGGCGTGACTAACGGTGTGTGACAGGCGGGTTATTACTTTGACCTTGACTTTTTCAACCCGTACTATGACTTCGTACGGGCGTGGCGCTGTCCCAGGCAGTGATTGATTGGTTACTGTGGCAATGTTTCATGGCCACCACACATCACTCACCTGAAGGAACTCTAGTAACCTGGCATCAAGGAGATTTTGGCGTTTAAAAATAATTGAAGATTATAAGTACAAAATAGTATAATATAAAGTATGGGTAACACACGAATTGGTTTGTTTGAAAATATAAACACCCCATCAGGAAATGGTGAGATACGGACCTAAAGGGAGTTACTTTACATCACGCCTTCACCAGTATTAAGGAGCGCCCGGGGGGTGAGAAGACCGTACAATTGTTTTAATATTGTTGATGTTATAATTCATTACTAAATCTCAATAATTTTTAAGCACGTGGTTTCAGGTTTGTAAATACACAAGTTATTAATAATTAAATATACTGTATAGATAAATGATCATTTCTGGTTATCTGTTTTGAATTACAGTGGAACCTTTATATAATGGCCTTCTTTCTCTCCATATAATCCGCTAGATGGGGGTTTCACATATAACGGAACCACGATATAACGGACTTTCCGCTTTATATAGTCTATTAAATAGAGGTTTCACTGCATGGCTTGGCACTCGTGTTGAAGGTTACGGGTGTGTTACCTTCACGTACAGGTGTTAACAGAGAAAGGGAGGTGTAGCTAAACACTATTGTACTTGGGTTGCTGTTTATCTGGGTCAGGGGAGGTCCACCACAGCCGCACTACACCACTACCTCTTTATGTACTGAGACAAAACAAAAGAAGGTCGTAGTCTACAGTGTGCTGCATCCACACCGCCTCAAAATAATGTTGAATGTATCGTGGAGAAGATCTTTTAGGTCTAGTTCCTGTTAGAATGTTAGATGCTTGGGTCACTAGGTTAATGTTTAATGTTAGGTGAACGTTGAAAGGCAGTAGGGAGGGAAGGGGTGGTAGTGTGGAAGGGATAGGAAGGATGTGGCAGAGGATAGGGAGGGGATGTAGGGAAGAGGAAACAATCGGGAGTAGGGAGTGAGGGAGAGAGGAAGGGGGGGAGGGAGAGAGGATGAGCCAACACCAACCCGCTACAGGAAGTAAACACGAGGACTTCCTGTTGGCCGCCACG